CCTTGAATGGCTCTGCTGTGGGGAGGGACGGGGCTGCTGCCCTGCGCTTGCCTAGCTGCTGTCTCTGAGGGCGCCTCCCCTCGGGTGCGTCATGCCGCAGAACCCCGCAGCAAAGCTCCCTTCGCCCACCCCCCCCCACGGAGAAGCAGCTTCCAGCAGCTGCTCTGCCATCGGCACCTAAACCTGCACCTTGCACCTGAGCGCCGGCCCCTCCCTGGCCACCGCCAGGCTCTCCGGCCGCTGTGACGCCCGTACGGACTGGGCCAGCCTGGCTGCGGCGCCGCTTGCGCCCTGCAAACGCCCCCTCTCGCCTCCACGCACCTTGTCCAGGCCACACAAAGGCCTAGGAGAGACCAGCGGGGTACAGCCCCGCAGGGACAGCACAGAGCCGGGCTGCGGCGCGGCGGCGGGGGAGGGACTTTTCCACCTTCGATTCCGATGAGCATGTAAAGTTTCACTCGCTCTCTAACAGTGATGCCGGTACCTAGCCGTGTCGGGTGCTCTTCGTCAGTAGAACGCAAAGCACTTTATAAAGGAGGTAAAAGCGGCTTTATTCCCATTTTCCTTTCCGATCGGAAACAGAGCGAACACGGGGGAGGTGAAAACAGCCCCGCAGGCCCAGGGGGAAGTGGGCCCAGCCTCCGTGGAGAGGGGCCGGTTTCTTCCGAGCGCAGTGCATGCTTGTTGAGCTAATACACAAATGCTCCTCCTTGGATCAGAGCACTGAACGAAAGCAGCAGCTTTTAAGACAGGTTGGGGTAGACAAACCCTCGCCTGCCCTGTGTGATGGTACGAATGCAGGATTCTCTCCGGCCCCAGCCCACCCCACCGGAGAGCCAGACCCACTGTTGGCGCTGGCGCTCCAGGCTGCTCCGCCTTTGCACCCAGTTCTGAATTTGGAGGCTGAGTTCTGCTCTGCCTAGCGCACTTTTCCTGAGCACCCCCCAGCTAAGCTCTTGCAGGGCAGGTCTGAGTTCCGCCTCGCGCCCGCCTAACTCAGCCGTGTGCGATTTTTAAACCGACTCCGTGCGAAGCCGGAGCGACACTCTTAACCAGGCTTTTTCCGGCCGTTTCTAATCCCAGCTGGAGGTGAGGCACAGGGCTCGTGGCTGCTGCTCTCCCTCTGGGCCCCTAGAGGCCACTCTCGGCTCACTGCGCATCTTGTGCAGTGATAGAGATGGAGCCGTGTTAGTCTGGAGCAGCTGAAACAAAAACCAGGACTAGGCAGCACTTTGAAGACTAACAAGATGGTTTATTAGGTGATGAGCTTTCGAGGGCCAGACCCACTTGCCCACCAAAGCTCATCACCTAATAAACCATCTTGTTAGGGTTATGTAGCACTTTAAAGACTGGTTTTTGTTTCATCTTGTGCAGGGTTGCTGTGGGGCTGGAGGGGGCTGGTTCACAGCCCAGGGCGCCCCGTGGAGCCGGGAGTTTCCGTTCTTAGCGGTGACTTTGCCCCCGCTGGAGGCCATAGAGCCAAGCACCCAAAGGGGCTGGATAATTTGGTGGCCAGTGTTAGCACCTCAGCTGCGTGAGTTGGGCAAGATGCAAGCAAACCTCATGGTCCAGGGCAGGTGTTGGGGTCAGGAAGGAATCTCCCCCAGCCAGGGTACCAGGCTTGGCGCATTGTCCCTGTTCAGTCCCTGCCAGGAGCTGGATCAAGAGGCCAATGACCTTGTCTGATGTGCAGCCGGCCCCTCCGCTGGTGTAAATCCACATCGCCCAGTGCCGTGGATTCACACCCGTGGAAGCCTGGCCCTAAGTCTGAGGCCCGTGACTGGCCGTGAGCCCAGCGCCACGCTGAACCCCAGACGCCCTTCACATCCCTGGGATGAGGCGCTAAACGCCCACGTCCCTGCAGACGGGTGGCCCCATTTTGCAGGAGCTGAGACTCTCGGCTGCCTAATATGCTACACCGGGGGGGGGCCACACACAAGTGAGAAGCCAAATGAGACGCCCCTGCCTGAG